ATGGGACATACTATCACACCAACCATATTCGCCAGATCGAGCATACTCGGATTATTACTTGTTCTGGTCTATACAAATTTTTTTTGACTGTAAGACATTTACTTGAAATGTCAATGTCAAAAATCACTTGGATCAGTTTTTTGTAAGCAACGATCAAAACTTTTATGAATGTGGAATCATGCTACTACCAGAAATGATGATAACAGGTATTTGACGAAAATGGTCGATATATAATTCAATAAAATATTTATTTATTATAAAAATATTGTGTTTTTTCCCCACAGGAAAAAAACGAACTTACTTTCCGAACAACCCAATAAATAAAATAGAGCTCTGAAATCTATTAATGTTAAATATATATATTTTATAGAAATAATAACTAATGAATATTATAAACTTGTATAAATTCATTTTTCAGTTTAGAACTATTGAATAATCCAGTTTCTACTTCTTGCAATCATAGATTTTGCAGGTAAATATTAAAGATCCATTTATAAAAAGTTAATTTTTAAATTTAATAAGCTATTTATAAATTCTTATAAATTAAAACTTTTAAATGATTACTATTTTAGTATAAATTAATTCTTAAGCATGTAAAATAGTATTTTGTAATTTTCTGTTATTAGTGAATTACTTATTGTATCTAATATTATGTTTAATATATTATTTAATATTATTATTGCATATATTTTAAAATTAGTTTTGTAATTTTAAATATCTGGGGAGTTTAATTGATTTATGCTTTTCTAAATTGCTATGATGCAAATAATGGTGAAGTCTAATCTTAAGAATTTTTCCTGGGGTAAAGAAACTCTTGAACTTCATAAAATTGTAATAAAACATTATATCAGTAAAATCCATATTATATAAATATTTATATTTTTATTGTTGTAAGTGCTATGTCTGTAAAGAAAAAGTAACTTTATTCACTTAAAAAATAATTTTTTTTACTTAAGTTTTATGTTTTATTTAGAAATTGTATCATAACTGCATTAAATGAGAAGTTTAAGATACCTTGTCCATTATGTAAAGCTAAGGTTACTAAAAGGTAAGAAAATAATTAACATTTACTTAAAATTTACTTATTTTAAATTTTAAATTATAGAAAAATTTAATTGTTAGGTGAAAATAATAATTAAAATTGTTTTATTTTAAAATGTGTCATAAATATTTTTAGACAATTACAAAATAAAACACAACTTTCTGAAGTTGTTTTAGTTGTGAAAAGACTTCTACCAGCAGTACAAGAAGATATACAAAATACAGAGAAAAGTAAGTATTGTTTTATCTAATAACATGAAACTAAAAATATAAATAACATGTACAGTTTAAGGAGTGAATTATTAATAATATACTTTACAGCATTAATCCATTCCAGAGATTTTTGCATATCATGAAAATATTGTAATGTGTACTCAATAATAAATTATTTGTTCTTGTAAAAAATAAAAGATATAATTGATTTTACATAGAATAGTAAATTAAGTTTTTCTTGTTTTACTATTTAAATTTAAGTAAAAATAAAAGATGAGAAAATATTGGAATAACATTTTCTACTTACAATTGTTTTTTATGAGCAAAATACCACATTTTCTTAATTATAAGATGCACCATAAAGTAGGAATAAAATTTTAAGATTTCTTTTTATGGGGAAATTTTTAATAATCAATTTTATTAAATTTTGTTAAAGAGCAATACAAATTCTATCAAACAGATAATGCTAGGTAATCCAATTTTCTCTTTCTTTCTTTCTTTTTTTGTCATATACAGAGGTTTTGTTTTAATGCTGAATCATAATTCTGGCTTGAAATGGCCAAGTGGTTAAGTTGGCATCTGACCACTCTAGGAACCTGGGATCAAATTCAGACAGATTGAAAAAAACACAGGAATTTTTCAGTGGTGGTTTGTCCAGATATGTTGGGTCCCATCCCTCACTATCTGACTGCCCCAATGTGGGCCTGGCTGAATCCATAATGGGCTTGATAAAAAAAAAAAGGGCTTCTTAGTTAGTATACACAGGACAGAAATAGTTTTTAAAACTGCCAGCACTTTAAATTAAGTGCAATATTAATAGAATAATTTCAGTAAAATTTTTCACTTTATTATTATTTGAACAACAACAGTACAACATTCAATGCACTTAAACTTTATTTCAATATATGGTATGATTTACAATGAGTCATATTTCCTCCAATAGACAGTGTGCTTACTAGAGGATGCTATCTATAACTTTTTCATCTTGCAGCTATGCTATTTATTAGAATAAATATGGTTTGTTGACTCTTGTGTAAAGAAGCATTATGTTGAATTTGTGATGCATTTAATAATTTTTTAGAATTTTTTAACTGTTAATTTATAGATTAATTTGTTACAAAACATCAAACATGCCAACAGTCAGGAAGTAATTACAGTTGAACTCTGCTATAATGAGCACTAGGGGACGAGCAAGATTTCCTTGTTATAGCCATTACTCATTATATCCATGAAGAGCTGTTATATTACTTAGGGGAGAATGGGCGGCTGCTTCAGCTGCAAACATGTAGGGTGCTTCACAGGACAAAAAATTTGTAGTTACATACTGATGATTAGTGAAATCTGTTTTAATTTTTAATTCTAAATAAGTTAATAGATTAAAAGTACATAATTTTTTTTTGTTTTTTGATTAATAGTTATATAAACTATAATATGATTAATATTAAACAATTTATTTTTTGTAATGAAGATAATACTAATTAATAATATGCCCAAATTTCAATTAGTCTTTTTATCTATAAATCTTAAAATTGATGATTGCCTCAAAGAATTCACTTTCATATTTCTCAAATTTCCTCTTAATGTACTCAATGTGTTGAAAGTCTATTTACTTCAGAAACCTCACTAATTTCAAAAATAATAATCAATTGATTCTTGAGCTTCAGAAATTGTCTATATTGGTTTTGATTCAATTTCATTTATCGTATTATCATCCCATTCATCATCATCATTGTTACCATTGTCTTTATTCAGCACATATTCCACAATGTCAAGCTAAATAGGAATACTACTGGTTAACAAATTGTCATCTACTCATAAAAATTCATCAATGTCATTGTTAAAATCATTAATGTTGCTGCATTGCAACCATTCAGATAAAGGTATGTTGCTTTCTTCATTTTCATCACCATCATCTGACATTGAAACTTCATTTGTATTTAATTTCAAATTTTGAAACAATTCAATGTTATTGTTGAAGATTGTTTCCTTGCATCACTTAACAAATTTATGGCATCCAATATTGATATAAACTCATGAAATTTCTGTTCTCTTTGATTGGATTAAATGCAAAACTTTCAAATTTTTGATTATATCCATGTCCATCAGTTGTAAAATTGATATGACATTAGGAAGGCAACACTAGCTTGATATTAGACAAATTTTGAATCTGTGGATGTTCAGGACAGTTTATTATTTTCAACTAATAATAAAATTTTTTTCTTTTTGTATAGTTTCTTATTTCAATCATTTAGGTACTTCTGAAAAATATCTGAAGTCATCCAGGCTTTTCTGTTCATAGTATAATCCACAGGAAGATTCTTTACATTCTTAAAATACTGTGGTTTTAATGATTTTACAATAACTAACAGTTTTTTCTTATCAGTTTCTGTTGTATTTGTACATCCAAGCACTGTCAAGCGACACCGAGTTTTTTCCATTAACACATTTTTTCCCTTTGAATTTAAACATGTAGTCAGGCATTAAATTATAAAAAAAGTCCCATTTCATTGACATTATAGATAACTTTGTCATTAAAATCTTTCCTCATTTCTGCCCAAAGATGGTCAATCCATTCATTTGTTGTTCCTGGATCAACAGATTGAGATTCTCTACTAATTTTTGAATAAATGATATTATGTTGGTTTTTGAATCGATTCAGTCAACAATTGTTGCATACCAAATTGCCACATTCAAATTTTCTAGCAAATTTATCTGCTTGAGCCTACTAGATCTGTCCATCTATTGAAAATCCAGCACTTCTTTGTATACTAAGCCATTGAAACAATGTTTCATTGATATTTGCATGCTCATATTTCTAAATTTTTTTGTTTTAGTTATATTTTTATCCAGCATCAATGACATCTTTATTTTTCCATAATGTTAATATTATTGAAGAAGTCAATGAAAACTTTCTGTACACTTCAACATTTTTAGTACTACGTTCTACTTGCAAATAATTTTTACGTTTTCATAAATTGAGAGATATTTTCTTTTCTATTCTACAGACGTTATTCTCATGGAAGGGTCTGTTTCTAACTACAGTGTACAGAAATTTTACAATTATAATGATTAGGTAAATTGGCAGAGCAGAGCTGGAAGCTAGTCAACAAAGAGAGGGATGGTCTCCAAAAAGAAAGTTTAAGATAAATAGGCCTGTAATCCATGTAGGTCATAAAATTAATTATCCAGTAGTCATAAAACTAAGAAACCCTTTCAGTTTTATCTCTTCCAAGAATTTGGTACTGCATTTCTTACTACTTGAACAATTAAGAATGTTTGTGTGTTCACATTGCTACCGAAAATTTTCTTGGTATATTCATGGATGTACCCTTGTTATGATTATATGACATGTATGGAAATATGTGTAAATTAAAATTGTTGTGGCATTTGCTCGTTATAATCATGAACTCATTATATCCATGTTCATTATATTTGAGATCAACTGTATTTAACATTTACAATATGCCAAAATGCAATATTGATATTTGCTGTTTAGTTATTAATTTCAATGTTTTGAAATATTAATGTATATTTTTTAAATAGCAATATTGAGAAATATAAAAGTATATTCATAGTGTCTAGGAATATATTTATCTGTTAATTCAATATTGGTAATTACATTGCAATATATTTTGATTCATTGTCAGTTTATAAGTAATGTGATCATTTATTAATTATAATTTTTTTAAATTTAGGCTTAAATAATTATTTACTGTCTTTTACTAAAAATGAAGATATTTCAAAAGTTCTTAATTCATCAAAAAGAAAAAGATTGAAAGAAGCAACTGATGAAGTAAGTTTTTAAATTTTAAAAATGCTAGAGATGGAAATAATTGTGGATGTAATTTTAAACTTTTATAACAATAAATGATGGTTAAGATTATATAAATAAATAAAATGTTTTTAAATTGCATTTTGATATTTTGATTAGTTAATAGCTATTAGAAATTTTTGGATGATTAATTGACCATTTATTCTTTAATTTTACAAATGAAATCTATCAATAACAATAACAACATTAGAAAGATAATTGACGGAACTTGAATAACAAATTCAGTTTAAAATTCAAAATAAATAATAGTAGAATATTACATAAGTGGTTTTTCAAAAAGAATGATATAATTTTAAATTATTGTAATTATGTTAATTATCTAAAAACATGATGTACAATAAAATATTTGGAAAACTGTTCAAGTTTCGTGTTAGCCCATTGTAATTTCTCAGTGTATGCACTTCATCATGCAGCACACATCCAATTGATATTCAAATTCTCCTACATTCATTACAGCATATCCATGTTCACTCCTCCCACAGCAGGCAACATGAATAATCTGCAACATGAGTGATTCTGACTGTGAAAACTGCAGAACACAAAACCTCTTTCTTTATTGCAGTTTTCATTTTCATTTACAGTTCTTCTAGAGGTGGTAGACAACAAGATATTTGAATACCCATGGAAGGTGAAACTCTGACAGTTACTCTATCAGCTGGTATACATCACATACTGCAACTTCTCAGACAACAATTAACATAATTACAGTAATTTAAAATGGTAGCATTCTTTTTAGAAGACCTTGTATTAAACTCTAAATGATTTTAGTTTTCAGTCTTCATCAAGAAACCAAAATAGTAAAGCATAATAAAGTATAAATACAAATTGTTTACAAGTAAAAATGTGAAACATTAAAATGACTAAATGTTTGGTCTTTTTAATGATAACTTTGTAAAATATTCAAAAATTCAATGATAAAAAAATATAAATTATTTTAAATGGTTTTTATTTTTAAGAGTGTAATTATAAGTAACAATACAAGAAAACTTATATGTGATTTAATTTTAATATTTAATCAGCTTTTCCATAAGTCAGAACATGAAATTAACAATTGATGAGCTTCATGCAGCTTCACCTAATGTTTTTCATTTTGTTGTTTATGAAATTGTCAGTTATCACCTTCAATACAAGATTTGTCTTGGGGTCCCAAGAATGTTGACAAGAGAACACAAACAAAAGAGAATGGCTGCTTCTTGGGCATTTCTTGATCAATACCATATGGAAAGAGATGAATTGTTGGATTGTGTGGTGATGGGAGATGAGATGTGTCTCACTACACACCTGAGATTAAGTTGCAGTCTCTTGAATGGCACCATTCACATTCTTTGAAACTTCAAACAAGCACTTTCAACCATGAAATTCATGGCTACAGTTTTTTGGACCAGAGAGGCATTCTTCTGATGAATTATCTGCTTCAAGAAGCCATCGGTGTGGAAAAGTACTGTAAAAACCTTAAAAATGTTATGGTGTGCTATAAAAAAATCTTCAGCATGGCCTGCTTACTAAGGGAGTATGTTTGTTACATGATAATGCATGTCCTCATATTGCTCAAAACATGGTAAAACAGTTGCAAAAATTTTGTCATGTTTTGGTGGAAGGTATTGGACCATCTATCACAGTGGTCACCAACCTTTCTGATCTCACAGACCACTAAACTTACAATTTTGAATCTTGCAGACCACTATCATGAAATTTTATAAATGATACAAACATCTATAGAATAATGATTATAAAATTTACTTTATTAATGTACAATTCACTTGTTTAATTATAACAGATTAATCTGAAGTTTGTTGCTGATTGTTTGAAAGAAGTTTATGGATTCTTTGCTCTTTTCCAAAAAGGATGACAATCTCACTCACATTATTATTTATTGATAAGTCATTTCATGTTTGGTTTTAGATTTAAATAAAAAATCCCCAATGAGTGAGAAAAACAACCAAGCATTTAGCATTTCTTTCACAATACTTCACATAATCTTAAAGTTGATCAATGTCCAAGTTTCTCCATGGACCACCGGTTGGCAACTGATGATCTAATAACATAATCAACACCTTATTGTTTGCTGAGGGAGTTTTTTAAAAACGAACGTTTTCGATCCACTTAACGGATCATCATCAGGCTAGAACATACGAAAATGGAATACATAATAAATGGAACAATACGTTCAAAAATTCAAAAATATCAATAAACTGATAACAAATCAATTAATAAGAATAAAAAATAAATTTCAAACGATACCTAATAATAAATAATATACTACAAAGACTAAATATTAATACGATCTATCGTAGCTAAATAGAAGCTACTAAGTTTCCTTTAAATCAAATACATATCATATTTCAGTTGATGCGCTACTTGTAAGCTTTTTTAACGGCAAATTTCCAAGCCGAGGGAAGACCTTCCGCATCCCTAGCATTAATGCATCCTTCTTTAAGTTTGCTCCTGTATATCTCCATTTTTTCGGCCGTCTTCGCCAAAGTTGGTGAGTGTACTTTGATGGGAAACTG